TTTCTTCATTAAAAACTTTTTGCGGCTTAAAAGGCTTAATTTTATGACGCATATCAAGTTTAAAAAACGATGTTCTATGCCCTTGAGCGAAATTGCTTATGCATACGCTGTCTTTTCTTTCGTGACCGCTTCCGCAGATGAACGTTGACTATACTGTGGTTGGCCACTGTGACATAAAAACTTTGACGGCAGAGAAGTATAATTTTGTCTATCTCTCTTCCCTTCTCTCTCTCTCTGTCTCTCTCGCTCACTATCTTTTTCTACCTCCTTATATAATATATTTATACCCTACGCTAGTTTTGGTCCAAAAACAATTGAGGTCGACCCATCTTTTATTATACCGATCGATTCAGAAAGTAATTCCAAGCATGTCTGTCCGTCCGTCCGTTTATTTTCACTCTACAAATCGCAAGTTTAACGGCGTCGACATACTTTGGCCCCAAAGACGAACACAATTCAAATTGGCCAGGTTTCATATAACGCCAGGTCTCATGTAACGCGTAGCGTATTTAAAGATGGACTGTATTGTGTTCGTTAATGAATATAGCAAAATATGAAAACAAACCCCTTTAATTAAGGATGTATTGTATCCAAAGTAATTTCCATCATATAATTACGTATATACGCATGTGTGTCATCATTAACTGACCTTGTTGAGAAACATTTATTACCGTATTCTCAGAAGCTAAGCTTACACTCTTTTTCTTATACAATACAATACTCAACAATACAATGAATGCACGATTATGCCTGCTTGCCTGCTTGCCTGTGCCTGGCTTTGTATATTCAAGTCGTTAAAGTTTCGTTTTGCTCTCTTTCGGTCGAAAAAACAAAAAAAAATAATAAAACTTATGTCAGTTGGTTGTATAGTGAAGCAGACGGCTATTTAAGATTTCAGTACGCACTTTGTTTACTTAATTTTAACGGTATAAACCGATTGGTTAATCTCTTATGTAACATATTTTAAAGTGTTTCGCTTTAATGTTCAAAATGATTATTAGTTATATGTGCCAATGCCATGACATCAATTGTCAAATGGTCATTTAGTTCATGGCTTCTTCGAAATTTCAAATTGAGATTAAGAAACGGAAAGTTGATGTTTATGAGTATGTGCGTGTGCATGAGTTAATAGTATTGCATGATATTCTTCTAACTAATTAACATTTAAAAGGGGGAAGCGAAAATAGTATGCGTTGTGTTGACGAGATTTCATTGTCTTCATTATTTTATTGCTAATAAATGTATTTCTTTAGATTCCTGCTTCGATATTCTACACCTTTCAAATGCCATTATATTTTATATTATATTATATAATATTAGAACAAAAAATACTTTTGAATGCGAACAGATTTCTGGTTCAATTTTCTATATGCATCAAATGTCATCATTATATTATATATATATATATATATTCTTAGTTGAGTGAATTGCGGAATTGCGCTATACATCCGCTATATATAACTATGTCAATTAAAATCATGTTTTGAAACTTCATAATCTGAAATTTTTCTCCCATTAGCCTTCATTAAGTTAAATCGATCACAAAGCAAAGCTAAATGAAGCTTTTTATCAATCTTAAGCGTTCATCTGCAAGTATCTACAAATGAACTTAGTTGGTATCTACGAAGCTGTCCAAAATCCTCCAAATATGTAGGCTTCGGAATATAGAATATACAGTAGATATTAGAACAAGCGATTCGCCTAAGGTTCTCAACTAACAACTCAATGGCGATCGCGGGTTCAAATCTCAAGTGCGATAGACTTTTCAATAAAGCCGATACCTTCAGATCATGCTGGTGCGTTGAGACTTTACCTCTTTGAATGTATTCCTCTGGCTTAATTAATTACAACAATACTAATGATATAATAAGCAAATGATGGACGTAGTAGTTGAGTGTATCTTGCTTCTTAGCTTGCACACAAAAATCATCTGCCAAGTAGGGTCAAATATTAGACAAAACCATATCGCATATTCTTTGTTTATTTCTTGAAAACATAAAATTGTTTCTCTGGATATTTTAGTAAAAAGGTGAATCTATCTAAATAAATAGTATTCAAAGTATTGTTTATCGTTGGCTGAGACATCTTCCCACGCTTTCCGATATCAGCTTAAAAACGAAATACATATCAATTTTAATCATAAGGAACAATGTCTGGTATCCTCGAGGCGGGTAGCGCATATTCACATAGTTTAGTGAAATGAAAATTTTCTGGGTCGGACTTAGCAACGTGGACCTAAATTTTGCCACTTTCAAAAATCCTTCTCTATAAAATATTTTCGGCCTTTTTAATAGCCCTGCTCAATAAGCTCACATGTAATCAGTTCTTCTTGGTAGTGCCTTTTTGTTATCACTTTTTGTAAATGAAGCAGCTTGTAATACACTGCCGTCAACCTTCTCAAAATGTGCTACCATGAATATTCTGCTTCACTGTCAATGTTCGCAGTTCATTTTGTCTATCGCACGTACATTTTCCATCGCCATCACAATTCAAGGGCAATTTCCTTTCACTGAAACAGAACGATTAACGCTTTCTGCAAAACCGCATTTTTTATGTGATACAAGACTCGTGTAACTAACGTCCAGAGAGATGGATATTGTTTGCACTTTACCGAAAAAACTTATGCTATACAATGTTAACTAAATGCTCTCGTAGAAATCGATAGAAATTAATTTAAGCTCATGCTAATATCCTTATTAATGTGTAGTGCCAGCGAGTACTCGGTTTTAATCCTCACCTTTTTAAGTGGAACTTTTTACTGATTATCCGAACTCGTTCTTTGTCCTTAGCATTAATATTTATGGGGATGGCAAATGAACAGAGAGATAGATGCATTCTTCTCCTGGTGAGAGTGGGATTCACCTACAATCTCTGGCTATCTTTGGGTCAAGCATCCGGCAAGCGCTTTTCCCGGTATTTGGGACGGCAAGAGGCACCCTGAAAGTTCCCGCGGTAAGGCTGGAGCAGAATAATGCTACGCGTAGTGCTAACGACCGAGATTTGAAAGAGAGTAGAAAACAAAGCAAGCTCTCCTATCAGATTTCGTAGGTTCCAAACGATCGACCAGACAATGCCATGAGATAGAAAATTTACAAACAAGGGCGTGGGCACATAACATTCCCAGTAACCAGTATGATATTTATCTCTCCCCCATTCGTTCAAGCGGGGGAACCGTTAACCACGTAGTTATATGGCCACACCCCAGCCGAGACCCCACAAAATGCAAGGATTCAAGACGCTGCGACATGTATACCTTCGATCTACACTGAAGGCACGGGATTCCAGTGGGTCACTAACTTTTCTCAACAAGTCCCGACTTTATGCGACAGCGAATAACGAACGGTGGCCTTTAATAGGATCTTTTATATATCGAATAGTCGGACAAATGTACTAACATGAAAATTAAGACCCAACGACATTATTAATGAAGAATAAAAATTGGATTTTCAACAAAGTAATCGCGTTACTCTATTTTAGCTAATTAACTAAGTTAAGACCTATTATGCTTTGGGTTTTTTTTTTTAGTTTTATGAAATTTTTTTATATATTTTTATGTACCTTTCTCGGTAGTAGGTAAAATGTAAGATAATCAGAATTAATTACAGCTTACTTTGAATTGCAAAGGATTTCTTTTGCGGTGACTATCTGATGCCGTAAACGAAAAAGTAAAGTTAAATAAGATAAAATTTCCTAATCTTGTAATAATAATGTGAAATTTAAACATTTTACAGAATGCTGTTGTATAGATATTATTATTGTGCACATTTACTTTAAGACTAGTCAAGGAAAAAGTTATTGTAAATGAATTGTAGTTTAACGAAGAAAACAGAAGAAATAAAAAGAAAAAAAAAAAATAAAAAAATAAATAAAAAAAAAAAAAAAGCACATTCATGGACTTGTTGTGTATATAAAAAATGCTACAAACGTAGGACGTATGCAATAAGAAAGGCAAAAAGTTAAAAATTTAACTTAACTTAAAAAAAAAAAGAAAAAAAAATCACTTTCACTGACAGTAGCAAACGGTGTAAGCGCTTGCGTAAAATAGCCACAAAATGCTGCGGCCTAGTCCCATTTAAAAAGTTTAAAGAAATGTTATTACAGTTGCCTCTGTTTGGTCCATTCGATTCGATACGGATCAAACACACACAAACACCAAACTTTTACACATAATATATATATACATATATATATATATATACATATGTATAGATATATACGCATGTCTGTATGTGTGCGTGTATGTGTGTGTAAATTTAGTTTATATATTATCCATAGTATATATAGAGTAAAATATAAACAGACTTCCAGTTTTCATTTACATATACACATGAATATAAAATACATTCATATAAATTAAACGCGTTCGTGTGCCTGTGCGTATGCCTATACGTTTACTTGCATGTATGCATATGCAAAATTCAAATTTGAATTTTTATTGCAAACATAGCACAGCACAACACACACAGCATAGCGCAATGCAAACAATTATTTATTTTTGTCCCATCGCTTTGCATTATATTGTTATGCACTTTATAGATAGCAATCAATTACATTAATTATTGTTCACTGATTTCCACAAGCGCACCAAAAAAGGGAAAACTCTTTCGTATTTGTTTTGCTGTAACATTTTCATTTCATTTTTCTTTTTGCATTTCAACAATATTTTCAAACACATCATTCAAACACACAGTCACTTACACTTTTTTTTTTTCTTATTATTATTAGTATTTACATTTCATTACAAATGATTGAATTGTCATACATTTGAAAAATCGTATTAAAGGTTTTTTTTTTTTAAAAGATCAAAAAATCCCGAAAGAAAACACAAACTATGCTCTAATGATTACAAATAAAATACTTTGATAAAAGACAAAGAAATTATTAATGATAATAGTAACAACAATAATAATAATAATAATAATAATTATAATAATGAAAATAATAATAATAATAATAAAGTCGCGTTGATGATGATATGCGTTTAAAGAGTAAAACACGACCTTCTTGAGTCAAGTCTCAAAGAAGTCTGAATGCGCATGAGCAGCGTGTTGTTTGTTGGAGCGCCGTTAACCAGCTGGTTTGTTTTTTTTTCCTAAACAAAAAAAATCCAAAGCTGCTGCATAGCAGCCAACTGTTTGCCAATGCTGTGCGGTGCGGTTTTGCAACAGAAAGCTCTCTGTATTTCATTTTCCTTTTTTCGTCGTTTTTGATCGATCTATAGCAATAGCAACAGCAACAGCAGCACCAGCACCAGCAGCAGCAGGCGGCTGCTATGTCTTATGTTTAGGTTTTTGACTCTTAGCAATAAGAGAGAATATAAACGGGAAGCTCTGCATATTGTTGGGGGGGTTTTCATTAAAATTTAACTCATACACGTTTGCATACTCGTAAATGCAACAAATCAACCGAAAAATTATTTAAAAACAAAGAAGAAAAAGAAAAAAAAACTTTATAGTAAACCAAATCAAAAACTATACTTGTATAGCATCGTCATCATCCTAATCAGGTAATAGTGACATCAATACTTATGGCCATAGCATAGGGGAGTTTTCATTATATCTAACCAATCTTTAATTTAATTACATTTATGTACGTAAGCAATGCACACATTTCCTTCAAGTATCATTTATTGTTTTTCTTTTTTTTTTTTTTTTCTTTTAAATAATCAAAAAAGAAGAAGAAGAAGAAGACTACTGGTTAGAAGAAATCATAAACAATATAATTTGTCCTATAAAATCGTATTGCAGGTGTGTAAGTGCAATGTCAATTTTGATGTCAGGTGTGCTTATTGGTTGCATGCTTCGTTGCTATGATGTATCAGCCGATTGCTTAATCTTTCTTTAAAAACCGTTATACAGTAATAACGTCTTTATGGTCATAATTTGTAAAATCGATTATTGTTTTAACAATATTTCAAATATGTAACTTAAACTTTACCTAAACCGAAATCGATTTCCGTTCATGAAGCGGGGAGGGGGGGTCGGGTTTTTGTCTTCAAATTCTGAAACATTGGAATGTAAGATTTGCATGCGTGTGAAAAGAAACCTTAACAATGCTACACAATTATATTATATCGTTCAAGAAAACTATCGTTCATCTTATGAAACGAACAGGCCTCATACAATGTTCGACTGTTGTGCCAGTTACCATGTTTGCCCATTTTCATCGCCTTCTTGAAACTACTGCATCCAAAAGCCGTAGAAGTTCTAACCTTCTCCTCCCTGTTAGAAAAAAAAGTAGTAGTCTCAGCCATGCCAACGAATTTCTTACATTTTTCGGGATTTGGGGTTTAATCAAAAATCGCCAAAGACGTTATCGTCAAAATTTCTGTTTTCCATAATCCCAAGCAGCAATACATATATGTATATATATATATTTTAATTTTTCCAATGATTTGCGGAATGCCTCCTATACGTATAACACAGCAGCGGTCATAAAGAAATGGAGAAAGGGAAGTGGATAGGAAGTGACAATGTGACACGGTGGTACTTAAAAAGGAGAAGGAGAGAAAGAGATAAATATTTAGCCACAGCCAAATGGGTGATATACCCGATTGGTAGGTGCTAGGCGTTTAGCGACTGAGTACGTCACTTATAGCTACGGCCAAGTATGCTCTACCGCATTAACATTTGAACCTATGCACACAGTTCTCGAATTCGAACAATCTTGTAACAAATAAGCCGTTTCAAGCTTATGGGTGATGACGCCTGTGAGACTTCTGAAGACCGCGTCTACCCGATCACTTGTAATTGACTACACTGTCTTCTAACCTTTGCAGTTTTGCACTTCTATCGGCGCGACAACGTTATAAAGACGACCATAGATTTTATAAAAAATATAGGTGCCCATCTACTATTCAAAATATTGACCATCGCTAAACGCTACTTCTGTTATCTTTTAGAAATAATGTGCTTTCCAAGCGGAAATGACAATAGGCCTTTTAAAGCTATCCATAATATAATCCATTTTTGGATATCGTCAGAAAGCTTAAGGGAAAACGGGACACGTTACAACTTTTAGCATACCACGCCCATTTGTTGACGCAATTGCATCAATCGTTGTTAGGGGCACTTCTTGGCGACGGTTCCATTGGGTTGAGTCACATCGTAATATATCGGGCTAAGGTGTCCACTTCCCTCCGTCCCACAAACAACACCCCCGGGAATGTTCGGCTTTATTGTCGATTAATGGTTCGCCTATTCAGCATCATGGATAGTTGAGCTTGGCGCATCCTTTATGGTTAGATAATAGAAAGAAGTAAGTAGACATAATAAATACTTAGCAACGTAGAATAAGTGCAGTTTACGCAAAAATGTCAGACGCGTGAACAAACGGAAAGAAAGATTTCACCTTACACTACAGCACTCTGTTTCGAACTAAAAAAGGGCAACAAAGTTTTCCCGCAAGTGACGTCCCTTTTTAGCATAGAATTTCATTTATCGAAAGCTCCAAGAAACTAGGATGTGTGCGCTCTATTATGATAATTTTTAGCTTAAGACAGTCCTTTCGAATGAAGATGTTACGGTTGTATGTAAGTAACTGCACTCAATATATATTGAAATATATACTGCGCCGCTCACATTAAGCTTTGAGGAATGGAAAAGCCAAAATGCTACAAAAAATGCTATAAGTGGAAATGGGACGTTTTGCTGGAAAGTGCTTATATAATACGATAATTAAAATCGAATCGAGTAGTACGACTTTTTAAATGAAACAAAAAAAAGGGGCTTCTATTTTTTTTTTTAATTAATTCCATTCCCATCATATTAATCAGGTTTCTTTGTAGTCTTCAAACCATCGACTTCCATATGTAATCTTCAAGATTTTTCTCGATTTAACTTTTTCCTTTGAATTGGGTCAGATTGATATCTGGACGGTCGTATTTTAAATGTTGACAATAGCTAGAGCTCTTCTAGATCCAACTAAGTTATGCCCTTCGCTTCAGGAACGATAGACGTCGAATTCTTCATGAAAAATTCTCATTCTTGCAGATAGTTGAGTAGAAGCGTAGCCTTCATTAAAGAAACCAGAGTTACTTGCCTGCAGTCCTGGCGAATAACTTTCCACAAGCGACAAGCATGTCTTAACAATAACACTCCTCTCCTCCAGATTAGTAGAGCAGGATAAATTCATAATGCGCTAACACCGCAATCATCGACAAAAACTTAGCTCTCACTATAATACTTTGTACTCTGTGGATAGATCATTGTATAATTGCTTCACTAATCTGATTCAATTCTACTACACATTTTTCATTACAAGCCGCTTTGGTAAATGCAACTTTAAGCGCATTAAATGGCAATCATTAACAACTTTAATAATATCCTGGCAAATTCCATGCTTTACCCAATTGTTTGTCATTCCAGGCAAATGATAAATCAGAAGAGAAGACAACTGCTTGAGAGAAGAAGTTCAAAGTTTGCTTTGTATCTGATGTAACCAAAAGCAAAAAAATTATACCTAACATATATATATAAATATGTACATAAATATATGTATATATATATATATAAATATATGTATATATATATATATAAATACATATATATGTGTGTATATACATAAATGTGATAAACTCGAGCGATATTCGAAACCTTAGGTCCAGGATAATGCAAAATGAATAATGTAAAATGACAATATACGAATAAGATAATACATATATTCCCAAGGCTAATAAGCGATTTCTTAATAATAATAATAATAATACTTAATGCTATTTTCCCAAGGTTAATAAACGAGTTCTCAATTTCGACATCCAAAGATTGATTGCATTTTAGATAAACCATTGTTTACATTTCTAGTAAATTTGTCTTTTAGAAAGTTTATAAATTTCCGAACATCACTTCAGCATATATATATACATATATATGTTAATTAATGGCATTAATCTCTCTCTGCAGGTTTTCTGCTTTTTCTTGTAAATTGCTTTGCATTAATTTAATAATGGATTAAAATTATTAAACGCAACAAGCATCGCACCCAATTTCGACAAAAATATCAATGTCACAATGTATTTCTCCCTCTTAAACATCGCCGCCTACTCTTCACGCGCCTCTGTTGCTATAAAATTGTAACGATTGAATTCAATCGTCAGTTAACAACTACTATACACTATGTATTCTCTTATTACGGGAGAGGGAGGAGAACATAAATCCAACAATAAACATTTCAACAAACGTACTCAACACGCTTGCATGTTTGTATAAATGTTGTTATCATCACTTTCACTTTAACGTGATATAACAGACGAAATACCACATAATCATATACAAAAAAAAAAATAAAAAAAAATCGGTACATATGCATATGTGCACAACTTAGGATTTAAGCTTGCAACGCTTCATTTTCTTTACGTAGAAATACGAGACATATGGTTAACACAACGTGAGATTGTGACTTCGTTCGCCATCATATTGCTTACAGACGCCGTCTATATGCGAAAATATCCGGTCAATTCGTGATGATAGTTGATGCGTTTTTATGTAAATAGATATCAGCTTAATGGAGTAGACAGTAAATGAATCGGATTTGCTTCTTTTTTTTTTGTTTTTTTTTTTTCAACCAGCGTCGACAACAACACGATCAAAAAGATAAGATTATCATTAATGTTCAATGTATGGTCGAATGTGTTCAATTGAGATATTATTCTTTTATTCATTTAATAATTTAAATGTGCATAATACTTTTAAAATACAGTTAATGAGTTGTCAAGAGAGCTAACAAATGTAGATGAATGCAAGTGAATGTAAATGCAATGCATATATATATATATATATATATAATAATATATTCTCGTATAACGATCTCCTTTATGCTTTTATGCTTTTATGCTTTTCGATGAAAGCGATATTGCACACAGTATACATTCTCATATATATATATATATATATAAATATATAAGATAAATGTATATTATCATATGTGCACTTATGTGTTCTTTCTACTTTTAGAACAAGTAAAAAAAAAAAAAAGTTATATTCGCTATGGAACGAATCTCTAGATATCCACCACTTTAAGCATTGTGTGTAAGTGACAAAAAGTTGTCTATTAATTCTGGATCTATCATTAAGTTGATGCGGATTGCTATGAAATACTTTAATAGACGTAGTTGCCAAATTTCGAAACGACAAGCGGCTTAACCTTCAAATTTGTTGACAAAAGAATGTTTTTTCCCAGCTTTTCAAACCCTGCTTGTAATCTATTTGCATATGTATTTGCTTGTACTCAAATTGTAATTTGTAGACTTGAAAATGTGCCAAGTTCCGATTTTCTATCTCAATGTTTTGGACCGCAAGAGTTCTACATTTAGATGGACAGATGGACGGACGAAGATGGCTATACACATACCGAATTGGAATGCATGCAAAAACTTTGGCAAATGCCAAAATATAATCGTTATATGCATGCATATATATGTAAACTCTCGCACATTCTACGAATTCATTCCGCGAAGTAGCTGCAGTTGCTCTACATGCAAAATGGTAGCGGTCCACACCTTTTTAATAAATAATTATTGTATAGATGTCAGGGCTTCGTATTATTTTGTCAATCCTCTCTAAATACAGAATCACTAAGGAGTCATTCCGAACATCAGATACGGAAGAGGAAAGAGCCACACCATTATGCTTCTGTGGTGAGTATAAAGGTGTTTTGGGACCATTTGGGTCTCGTTTTCTATACCAAGAAAGCATTATGAATGAATTGCTAAAATTTCTTCTTTTTTTTTTTTTTATTATAGTATCCACTTTCTTGCAATGGCTGAATTAGCACGTGATGATGGATTGATTGTCGCTTCGGTTTTTGGAGTCTCTCGTAGTAACTTGGAAATCTGTAATGGTCCGTTCGCTGTAGCAGTTGAGAGTATCTTGGGCGGCACTGGCGGTTTATAAGTGTTCTGTAGACTTGATAAATATGATGGGATTTGTTGGGCTGGATCTATACGTCTTTCATTATCGTCACTGTATATTGCCGAATCGCGGAAATCATTTTCTAGAGTAGCCTCAACGCAATGCTCGTATTCAAAATTTTGCGAAGAATCGGCAAATTTACTGTTCAAACGTTTTTGCTCGCACACGCTATCATTGGAAGAAGTTAATGAAAATACTGAATCCCGTTGCAACGTAGTGGTTGTATCTGATTTTGTTATTATGAATAAAGATCGAGGATCGGCATAGTCTAGATGTGCGATGCGTTCTCCAACTGCCTCGCTACCTTGTAAGTGAAGTATTGAGCGATTCTGTCCTTTAGGAAAAGATTCCTCCGTAATCGAAGTTGATGTTGAACTTCTTAATAAATTTCGGACGCGGTTTTTCGACGCTTGTACGCTTTGCGTAGACTTTGTTGTCACGGCTACCGTAGTAGAATTATTTTTTATTGCCCGCGTTTTAAGAAAACTATCACATTTCTCAGTTAATATGGGATTAGTTGAGTTTTTTGCTTTGGAACTTCCTTGAGTATCTCGACCAATAATTTTCTCAACGCTATTTGTTTTGCTATGACTTTCATACCGACACGCATCGTCATCCTTCGGGTAGATGAGTGTTACGTAATCTGAATCCGAACTAGCTGCAGGTTCTATACATTTTTCTCGCCCTTTAGGGCATTGTACAGATTTCGAACGGGAAAATACAGGTGAGAATTTATACGGGACATGTACATTTCGTCGCAAAGTTTCATAGATTGGCTCGCTTTCATAGGATGACGGTTCCCTTTTAAACTCATTTTCAATTTCTAAAGGTGGCGGGGATTTTGATGGCGGTCTAGGCGGTAAATCATTAACAATCGATTCATTCACTTTCTCTGCAGAAGTTTTCGATGAGTTGCAATTTTTCTCTGTCGATCGTTTTTTTTGTAATTTACAACAAAAACGATTGAATTCTTTGCTATCTCTTAAGAGATCTAAAACAATCTGTGCGTCTTGTTTCACCTTTTCCGCAGATATTCGCGCGCTTGCTTTGTGATTCGCATCCACGATTCCTTCATAACTGTCGCTTACATTCGAAAGCATTAAATTGACATATTTTTCAGATTTTATATCACTATCAAGTTGACTGGGATTTGATATGTTCTCCGACGATTCAGTTATCTTTAGGACTGTTGTGCTTGCATCTTCAAATTCGCTTAATGTCATATAAAATGTCGATGTTTCCTTTTTGTTGTTGCAACGTTGTTTTCGCAACGATGTTATTCTCTTCGGAAATGTTTTGTGACTGTACGATTTAGTTTCTTCAAATTTCATAACCGAGCTTTTCGATGGACTTTCCTCGGCTAAAGCGGCTGCATTTGGTTTGCGGGTGCTTACGCTCATACGTGGCACTGATTTACTGCGTTCCTTGAGCGGTTTGCTGCCAAGTGCCAACATTCGTTTGAATTGCCTCGAGGATCCAAAATGTCTGCAGGATTCTTCATTACGATGCTTGCATTGTTTACACTCTTCACCGGAATTTTGAATCTCTTCCTCTATGCTTGTGTCTATGTCTAACAAACGTTTATCGTTAATGCTATCCGAACTCTTCGAAATGGGCTTTAAAACGGTCTCGGAATCGGTATAACCAACATCGTTAAGATTATGAAATGTATTAGGACTTGATATGGTTTTCCTTTTAATTTTCGATCGATTGCGCATTTCACTGCGCCGATATTGATTTCGTCTCTCTAGGTAAGTGGGTGTTGATGTCGACGTAAGACTCCATTTCCATGAGTGCTTGTCTACAGAATGATCTAAAAATCAGGAATGAGAAATAATTGATATTGAGATTTAAATCAACAGGTGAATGCATATTTAGTTGTTTACTTGGGAAAATGGATGAAAATGCATAGATTTAATTAGATACCTTCTTCGTCGCCCAATTGATAAACTAATTCCTTAGCTCTCGGCGGAATATTATCAAATTTTTCAAGTATGACACTTTTTATATGCTGAGTCCACAATCGTTTCTGATCGCGGCTTTTAGCTGTTAATTTAATTTGGTTGCGAGGCTCGTCATACGGAATTATATAAAAGCTAGTTTGTTCGCCAGCCAAGTGTTCGCTCAACATAAGATTGTTTTGCTATAAAAAATAAAAAAAAAAAAACAAAAAAAAAAACAACGTTTATGTTGAAATTTCTTAAGAAATTATTAAATGTTTATACTCACATGTATATAACTTTTGAATTGTAAACGATTATCTTCTTTGGCTTTGGCTATAATTAACATCGACGAGAATAATAAAACTTTCCGGGGTTTATTGCTTTCCATTAGCACACCTTCTAATCGCAATTCCCCTAACACCGTTAATTCTGCCAATTCATATGTAAACAAAACATATACAGATATACAAAGTAAAAATGTAATTTCACATCAAGCATACCTGGACCTAACCAACCATCTAAGATGCCAGATAGCTCTTTAACTCTCGTTTGTTGTTCCAGTTTCCTTTTCACTTGATCAATATTTCGCGCCACTTGTCTCATAATCTCATAAGCCTGCATTACCTCTTTGATGTCGCAGTGTTTCCTTAAATTCTGTAAGTGACAGCGTTAACAGCGTTAGTTTTGAGAGATAGGTGCTTTTCACGCCCGTCACCGACGGATGAGGGGTATGTTCATTTTGTTAAAACGTTTGCAAAGCCCAGAAGGAGCTGCAGAGATCTCACAAAATATATACGCACTTGATCAACATCAAATTTGAAACCGATTGTAGCGTGTCCGTCCGTTTGTCTCTGTGTTTTACATATTCCCCTGACTACAAAAAAGAAAGCTGTCAACTTCAAGTTTGCAAAAACAATGGAAGTTCTAGCACGCAACATGGTATTGAAAATGGGCCAAATCGGTCCAACGACACACCCACAGTGCCATATAAACTGGAAATACATACCTCTGTGTTTCAAACGGAATAAAAAATTGGTTTTCCACTCGTTACTCACTATACTACAGCAGATGTATCAAAATTTGGAACTATATGCCATGAACGATGCTGTAGTATCCGTACAAAAGTGGGAAAAAGTGACCACGCCTCTCAATAGCTTTATAATCGGCAGAAGCAAGCTTCAAAAAGTTTCAAATACGGAATGCCCTTAAGCATGTCCGCATGTTCATCTGTCCATCCGTCCGTCTATTAGTCCGTCCATTTGTCCGTGCGTCCAACTGTGTCGCATCTGCGGTACACATTGTTGCGCCTACAAAATTACAACAAAGTTTGAAAATGACCCAATCAGCCTAAAGGCACGCTCTCAACGCACTACCAAAACTGAGCGTACCTTTGCTTTCCGTGTCCTTTGCTCGTTGCTTATAAACCACAACAGATACACGACATAAATTTCTACAAAATTATTCTACAAAAGTAGAAAAAATCAGCCACGCCCACCCAATATTATACATATGCATATGTAAATTTATATTTATTCCTTTTTTCAATCTCTTATACAATAGCGATAATGGATCGCAATCGAATATTATTTCTTTAATTTTATATAATAATACTTACATCCAAGAGTAAGTGATATTTTAAAATCCTTTGCACTGGTTTTAGTAAATATGATCCTAAGGGCAGTGTATGTTGCAATAATTTTTGTGTAGACGTTAATAGAGCATTGGTATGAGTTGCCTGCAGCAATTTTGTTAACAATTGAATGGCATCGGGATAACTGGTACTGAAGAATTTAATTTGTCTTTTTTGTTACAACTTGATAGTTACACGGTTATCATTCATTATAATTACCAATAGGTGGTGTAGACCTCAAAACGATTTTTCATTTCAATAAAACATGCGGAAATTTTCACTGGATCGAGACCAGAATCAATTAGTTTCTTAAGTAAGGCAACATTAAATTCATAAATCTCTTCAATATTGGAGAATAAAACCTTCAACTCATCGTAGCGCAAGCAAGCCCTCTCTTTCCAATCAAAAAGATATCTGAAAAAGTAAATGACGTAAATGAAAATCAATTCGCACGAGAACGTATTAAAAAAGAGAGCAGACCCTTGGATAACTTCACCGAGATCATTGACATAACTTCTTTCAGAGTCGACAATTTCCAAGCAAGCCCGTTCAAAAACAGACATTCCCGTCGGAACTTCCATTAGCTCATTTTCGCTTTGATCAGCTAGGCTTTCGACGCTCGCGAGATAAGATGTACTATGTTTACAACCGAGATGATCGAGACCAGATCCCGAACTGGAACTGGATGATGTCGAACATATTGATAAAGATGATAAAGGTCTATGCTTAAGTCTTGCTAAATCTGGTAAGATTAAATTGCACATTTTTTGCGCTTCTTTTGGGGAAAATTTCAATTTTTGACTTTCCCCGGTCGTCTGAAGCGCATTTTTAGCATTTTGCTGATTTATACTTTCCTGTCGCTCCGAATCTGTCCGCCAATATTCTCTCTCAATACCGCCAGATGGTGTCAAAGCCGATAATGTTCGCACCAACGGCGAACATTTTATCTGCTCTTTCGCACAAGACTTTTCGTATCCTTCGCTCCGTAAGGTCTGCGTAGAGGTTTTAACCAGTTCGAAACATGTCAGACTTTTCGTTTCGTCTTGTGAAGCTAATTCAAAGGTGATATCTTCAAGTAAACTATTTCCCGGCACGATATACTTTACGGGAATTTGTGAAGTTTCTTTTGCCGCAAATAGACTCTGTTTGGAAATTGTTTTCGCCTTATCGGTGGAAAGTTTGTCAATACATTTTGGAGATGTTTTCCTTAAATTCTCGGTAGCATCGCTATTACCGTCCTGACTGAAAGTCTCTACAATATCATTCCCAGCTAGGGTAAGTTTGCCTGTAATCTTCGAAAGAGGAATATGAGAAAGTTTAACCTTGTTGCTAATGTTGCATACAGGTATCTTTCGTAACGAACGATTAGGTAGGGGACTTTTTGGTGGATTATTCAGAGCAATAATGTCGACAGCATCAACCGGTTCTATATCGGAATGTGTTATAATACGTTGAACATTTGGTGATAATACTCTTATATTGGTGCGATGTTTATTCGGTGTATTGCGGCCACTGATCGCGGTTAACGATTCACTTGAGTCTGATAAACTATTGTTTGTAATTTCGCAGATAGCACTTTTCACTGCACTTCCGTCTAAACTCGTACTAAACTGCGAAGGCATGCAACTCGCAATTTCGTTAACATTTTCATCATTTTGTTTGAATAAAGTTTGAACACTTAGAAGTTTATCGTCACTTGTCACATTTGAATTTGTTATAATTTTTTTTATGGCATCTGATCTGGAAGCAAGTGAAACCTCGTCACTATTATCTGATATACAAGGATTGCTTTCCGAGCTTCTGCCATCTAATTCAGTCGTTAAAGTATCGTAAATACCCAAAACTGACGGTGCCAACTCAGTAGAACTTCCTGCGAAATGCAAACGAAAAAAACAGAAAACAAAAACTTTTTTACATATATATATATATATTTTTTTTTGCACTTCTTTTCATTCAATCCTATATAAGAGAAATATATTCAAAAGTCTTATTTGGCGAATGGTCGCAATTTAAGTAAAAAGTGTGTTGTTTTAATAGATGTAACAAAAGGTGACTGACTGACTGAGCTGACTGACTTAAAGCTTTTCTGTACAAAGTGAAAATTACTGAGAACCTGTAGGCGCGTCTTTTCTATGTTGTTTGTCCGCTTGTTTACCTAAATACATAAAATGTTATTTAAATATTTGCGCATAAATCATTACATACATACACATGTGCATATGTTTACGCAATTTATAAATAAACGAACCCTACTTTAAATTTCTTTCATTCATATCCTTTCATTCACGTCCTGCTGCATATCTATGTTATTAATACAAATGCAATCACATACGTTTATATATATAGATTGGTTTCTATTTACACAGAAAGAGAGAAATTTACTTCATTTTTATGTAAACATTTTACCTCTAAACTGAAATTTTCAATGGATTGTTTGCCTTAATAAAGATAACCAAATGCAAGATTTTATATTTCTCTTGTGCTTTTTCTCTACACGAGCGTGCGCTTCACCAAAAATGCATCAAGCCACAGACATAAGAGACATCTACGTAATCTAATCATGATTCTATGCGAAAGAGCCGAGAGATGTCGCTGACCAATGGGGAGAAAATCTTCCCGCGCCAATATTTTACAAAAATATCCACTTTTCGAAATAGATTGAGAAGGAATGCAATGAAAGGCGTAGAAGCCATTATGCTTGTGCGAATCTATGCAACACTCAGAAAGATTTGAAATAAACCAACCTTTTACTATATGCAGAAAATATTTCTGATTCAAACTAAGCTTGTCTGTCCGTCAGTCCATGTATCTTGCATTCAACTTGCAGGGTGGAAAGACTTGAAATAAACCAACCTTTTACTAGATTCGGAAAGTATTTCTGACTCAATCTAAGCTTGTCTGTCCGTCAGTCCAACTGCCTGGCATTCAACTTGCAGAATGGAAAGTCTTCAAATAAACCAACCTTTTACTAGATTCGGAAAGTATTTCTGACTCAATCTAAGCTTGTCTGTCCGTCAGTCCATCTGCCTGGCATTCAACTTGCAGAATGGAATTTTTGAGACATTTCGATGAAATTGCGTAGACTGACGTGTTTTGGTGTATAGATTATCGATCTATACTTGTTTGTCCGTCTGTCCGTCCAAATACTTAATAGTGAAACGTTGCCCAATGTAGTGTTTTCACTTGGTTTATTTTAGAGAAGGCAAAAACGTATTGTATTTTGATAGAATATATAGGCACAGTAAGAGAGAAAAGAAAAAGTTTGTGTCAACTTATGGTCGAAATTGGATTATAGACATTTTAATTTTCGGGATGCTTATCGCTTTTGTGGACTAGTCGCAACCAAAGTCTATAGGCACTAACCGAATGCAGAGGATACAGCATTCGGACAATGGCCTTAAACACAATGAAGCGCAATTGCGGTTTTAAGCGTAGGAATTAAAGTTGAGTAATGAGAACGAACACGATAAAGTTACCTGATTAACATTTAATATCGTTTAAAGCCAAAGCATCAATATTGGGTAACCAACTGGTTGGATGCATTTATGGGTGTTTTTTGATTTTGACGACCGTGGAATCCGAACATAATCAGTACAATTTTTTTCAATACATTTTGCTTTTTCTTCCGATTTCATGGCAGTCATTCCAGCATGTCTCCACAAGATCATTCCCAATAAAGTAAATTTTTACAGATAATCTCAACGTTTTTTTTTTTTTTGTATTACCAATTACTTGAAGGACGTCTGCTGAACGTGTAAAGGGAGAAAAAGGAAAGAGATAGGGAGGTAAACGCAGTCTAGAGGGTGCGCCTATATCGGCTGAACAAAACTATTGCTACGACCAATGTAAACTCGACCGGTCTGAGATACGAACTCGCGAACATCAACTTGGAACATTGAAGAAGTCTACGCATTTGACACAAAGTTCAACATATAATCGCAGCATCCGTCAATCAATGATTTTGAGAGCTGTACGGAATCCCAAAACAATTAAAATGTTACAAATTTTGTACTTTGTGAACACAAAAAAATTTTTAGAATTTGAAAACGAAACGTGACCGTCAATAAAAAAACTATCATCTCGAATTTTTTTAGTTTTATATTAGAGGCAAAACATTCCGAGACGAAACTGAAGACTGGAACATATAAGTGCAACGTTTTGACACCCATTAATCTCACAATACGCAAGAATTCAAAAAAATGTTAAGACGTTATGCTCTATGATGTCAAAGCTGTACTGAATATATCCTTAGACTATGGTAGAAATATTTACGCGGATCACGTCAAATATCGACCATTTGACTAAAACCCATACAGAACTTTGTTATAGATCAAGGAAAAAGCTCATGACAGTTTTTCGTTAAAAATCTGACCTGTTTTTTTTTTACATTTATTTCTCTAAATCCCAAACGTGTCATTTTGATTTGTAGCGTCGAGCTGTTTTACTGATAAAATCTTTATGCCCTTACATTTTCTGTAACTTCCGAGCGAAGTCACTCTAAGACACAATTAAGAGAGATCTACAAAGCGAAACAGTAGTTGGACGAGGCAAACTCACCGCTTTTAGGGTGAAACTCTTTGCAGAGTTGGAAATTTTTGCAATAAATCTTTTTCGCTTTGGGTATCCGCCAATCCAACACATGCATTGCACCCGTCATAAATGGCAGATTGAAGAAAGGAAAATAAGGCTGGGTCAAGATATCTAAAAGCTATTACAGGTAACCATGACCTGGCATTGTCGTGTTGAATCATGCCTCCTCTGTTGATTGATCCCGGACACTCCACCTCAATAGCAAGCTATGACCTGATTAGTTTTGTCATTAGTTCTTGACAATAGAGCATGTAATTAATCAGTTGTCTACTCCCAAATCCAAGCATTCTCGCCTTGATTAAAGTGATATTCTAAGACATAGCATTTTGATCCATTTCAGCTGAGTTAATGAATGCTATAAAATTTTCTTTTTTTTCCTATCTATGGATCTTCACATTTACCGAAGTTTGGCGAAGAAGCGCCACGAACTTATTCCCTGACTCAATATTTACACTTTTGCTTGGGATGGTAGGTGTACAAGATTCATTTCAATGCAAACGTGGCTCTCTTACTTGTTTGATAGATATTAACTTCCATTAGCTCAACTTGTTTATGTTACGTAAAGTACCTCTTCCGTAGTCAATTGGTTGTCTATGCCTACGGTAGATGTCAAAACGTAAAAGACGCCATGCATGATATACGATTTTCATAAATGTATAAAGTTACCTTTTTCCAATCAAAATGACTGGGAAAAAATGCTTATAGCATTTTATTGATAATTGAGGATTTGAATTTTTCTCATTTTGTTTTTTTTTTTTTAATTTTCATTTCTGGCACAATCTTCTAAAAGCTCCATATAACATGTATATAATATATATATATTTATATACATATTTATATGTAACCAATTATCTGTTAAGCTCAGTGAACAAATTTAATATCCTCACTCGTTATTTAAATGTATGGCATTTTATTATTGAGTATTTCCATAGTCTATGCAATAACTTGAATTTAAATAGAAAAACAAAATTCACTGGAGGTGGACAAGTTTTGTGTGCCGTCAGGTGAGATGGTAAAATAGTTTTTTTTTTTTTTTTTTTTTTTTTTTCAAAATTAAAATTCTAACAAGTGGAAATATCCTTTAAAAAAAGTTGACAATAACCATATGTACTATTATGCACTTGGTTTTCATTCAGTTTATTTTCATTCCTTTACAAATAGTTCGCTTAACCGAAAAGTAAAAAAAATTTGTTGATTTCTCTGCGCAGAGAGCAATGCCTTAACTTAACTTCATTAACCGTGAAGAGATTAATTGAAACGCTTAAGCGGACTGAATCAATCAGAGTGATCTTAAATATTTTGGCCACTCTTCGACACAAAATATCGAATTAGTTCGTTAGCGCATTTCTGAGGTACAAGACCACCAATTCGACACCTTGGTCGAGAATGCGACATTCAGATGCTCTGCTAGCAACTGCTTTTTCCTTTTTAAAAGTAAGTACATCCATTAAATCATTCACTCATTCACTCAAGCAAGGCAACGTAAAGTACTTCACAGATTTCAGTTTGCGGCATAAGGCTATATTAAGTTTGCGCTAATGTGTGCAACACCCACAAAGAGTTGAAAAAGGCCCTTTTTTTTTATTAAATCGATCGATTCAGAGAGTGATTCTGAAGCTTGTCCGTCTGTCTGCCTGGCTCCCAGCTTTATTTTCTTGTGCTCAACCTCAACACATCTGCATTTTTGAGATATTTCAATGAAATTTGTTACACTAACGTGTTTTGACCCAAGAACGAACAGTATTAAAAATAGTTCCGATCCGACCACCTTTCAACAACTTCTTATATAGATATTGAGTCTTATTTTGAACAATCATGCTGTGAATAATTTTATTAAGTAGTATGGTGTAGGGTATTTAAAAGCGGACCGCGTCGCCTTATAGTGTTTTTACTTGTTCAGCGCCAGGGTATTATCTTTGAACGATATTCAAAGCGGGATTTTTGCATTCGTTTTATTATAAACTCTTATGCATTGCGGCAGATTTAACCCGAATTCTTTTGAAGAACGTGCATCGGAGTCGGAGATCATATTCATTGTGTTAAAACATTTGCAAGGGCTAAAAAGAAGCTTGAGAGACTCTATAAAGTATGCAATATATTCTTGATCAACATCAAATTTTGAAACCGCTTAAATCCGTCCCTCTGTCCATTTTTGTAATGCATTTGGCCTGCATTCCCTATCTTTTATCTATCCTTGATATTTTATTACATTTCCTTTTAAAACATTCGGAAAAATTCTTGAATATAGTCATTATTTCTATTACACACTATATAAAGAGGAGAAGAGGAGAAATCTTAGAAAGATTATTCTCTTTACATATATCATGGTACTCTGTACGAATGCATGGTAGTCATCCTTGGTATATAGCATTCATTTCACCACATTTTGCAACGTAAGTAAATTGAAAGTGAAATACAGATTTTTTTAAAGCAGACGTTCATATGTTCTCAGTGGAATGCTATTCACTGTCACCTTTGGCTTCTTTTCAATAAAATTTTTATTTGAAACGAATGAAATTTTATTCACATTTCGTAGTAAAGCAAGAATTGATATCATTGATGATTACTTGGTATACTTATGTATCATCCGTATGCTTCTTAAAATTTATAATTATCGGTTGTTGGCACCAGTGGTGGTGTAATGATAATAAGAATGACGTCATTTTATATTCATTCTGAAAAGTAATTCTTGATAGCACCACATTTATGATTGTTTCACAAATTTTCTTATTTTCTTGACAACCATTGATCTTTACATGTAATAAACAACAACCAAAACTGTCGTCAAGAATGCAAAAATGTTCTTGAAAAGTATAAAGACTGCAGTGTTTTGCAATTATTTTCACTGCTATTGGTCTGTCTTTTGCATCAAGCAGAGCATGAAGGGAAAAGGAAACTTCAGCAGGCATTCTGCTGTTCAGAAGGCTAACTATGATTGCTTCCTAATGAAGGGAAGAACTAATAGAAGAGCATTTAAATAATGTTTTTTTGGCTTTGCTAATAAAAATAAAATCGTCGTTCGTCATTAGGTTAAAAAAAAAAATGAAAATGTTTCTCTTTTCTCTCTAGCAGGGCATCGAAATTGATTGGTATTTACGTTAAGTGAAATTTTGATTGCTTCCACGTCAAGCTCAACCATAAATTACACGAAATAAGTAAGAAAATTACATTCCGTTCTAAGTTAGAAAAAAATACAACAAAATAACGAAATTTTTATATTCTCTAATATTGTGTGGGAGTGGTTGACTTTTTCTGTTTTTGTGGACTAAAAAAAAAGTGGAAGCTTTAACTGTATGCAGTTAAACTAATGCAGTTTATGAGTAGTGGACAAAAATTGTTCTCAGCCTTGTGGCATTGCGACGGTGTCCTTTGTTGGGTTTGTAGACGATATGCTTACCATTGCGTACAGGAGAATGTTTGCGATTGGGCAGGCGGCCAGATGGACTGAAGAAAAGACAAACATGTTTAGATGCATTCCAATTTCGAAACTAGTCGAGAATGCGTATACTTTATGGAGCTTTTGAAGCTTTTCTCTTCCTCTTTTATTCTTTTCCGTTTGATGCTTGCTAAAAAGCTCCATAAATGTTTAAAAAGGTAACATCGTTTATGGAAATGCGTGTCCTCTGTGTTTAACTGGATCAAAAGTGAAAAAAAAATGCTTCTCAAGCTAAGGAAATGATTTACTTAACTTGGGCTGAGAACGCTACTAAATCTACTAAACCTTTAGAAAGTGGTTTGGAAGATTTCGGGCGGGAAATCCCACCCGACCCCACATATTCTCTTGATCTGACTTCTTCCGATTAATACTTATTCAGATCGTTACAGTCACATTTAAGAGGTAAGCGGTTCGCAGAAATTCAAGATATGCGAAAATGGGTCGAGAGCTATTGCGTCTCCGCGAGCAAATCCATAAACTAACCCGACAAATGGTAAAAGACCATGGATAAAAGTGTTCCAAATTTCAATTATTAAGCTTTGTAACAACAATTGAAGGAAAAAATGTAACGAATTTATTTGTACACCTATTATATGTCGCACACTAGCGCAAAGTGTGGACAACTCTTTTGCTTGGTTTATTCATTAGTCCTTGCAAGAACAACAACAGCAACAACAAACAAGTGAAAACATTGTAGTCGGGCTAAGCCGAATATTGAATACCCTACACCACATTGTCTAACACAGTTCTTACTTTTGCCACAGAACACAAAAATTACACTTTGTTTTTGTAGCAACTTGCTATTATGGAACTATATATAAAAAATTAAATAAATTCACTTTCAAATAAAGTCACTTTCCATAAGAGCGGTGGTGCTGTGTGTACGTGTTCAGCAATGTTAATTTTCATATCACATTACTATTATGGATCAACTTTCATCATAAAATAAAAAGCAAAACTTTTTGTGAAAAGCCTTATAGAGAGTAAAATGCAAAAATAGGCGTGCGAGGTCCAAATTTTGTATACTTCATTTTTTGATCTTAAATTGCGAGTGGGCTATGATTTCCATCATAAAGCATTGAAAATTACATGTTTTTGTCATATGAACTTCAGTTTTCGTTTTATGAGAGGGGGTCGTAAAAATCGCTCAGACAGTCCAAAGTTTCCACTCGAAGTGAGATTGCCGAAATAATATTACTTAGCCTCTTTTGTCGAGAAATTTTTTTCTTGTAACAGTTTCTTTAAATAGGACGTCGCAAAAGTGGATCGATCCAAACTATTTTCAATGCCAGCCAAATTTCATCAAAATATCTCAAAAATTGCGACCTATAACGTGAAGACAAATTTACATGGACAGAAATCAGATGGACAGACAAGCTTAAAATAATTCAAAAAATGACTTTCGAGTCAATCGGTAAAATAAAAGGCGGATCTAAATTGAGACCTTCTGCGTATTATTTAAGTCCCACCATTTGTGGTACCTTGTACCACAAAGTGTAGGGTATAAAAAATATCGCATCAAAAAAATTTTTAGAAAAACTGGAAGCAATTTTTCTTTGATTTTTAATCATTTTCAAATCATGAATAAATAGACGAAAACTGGTATTAATATTAGATCGTTGATCATTTTCATCATGAGAACATCTTCGATTTGTGTTAAGCAGACGATAATTTTGTAGTAATTTGTTTTCATTTCTTGGCGGTTTTTCATTTTGAATAAAACCTGTTGCAACTGGTAAGTAAAGCCCACGAAAAATGTATATAATTTAATTATTTACCGCTAATGTGATAAATTTAGAGTAATTCGAATATTTGTTGAGCGCATTCATTGCTGCTAAGAACATGGCAAGATTGTGTAATCATTTTTCATAAATATTCATATATATCGTATGTCACATATATGCACCTAATTTAAACAAGTTTCTGTTTTAGGCGCACATCAGCTAAGTCGATTGCATATATTATGGAAAATAATTGAATTCTTCTTTTCTTTTTTTCTTTCTTATTTTGCATGCATTCCAATCAAAATCTATTTAGAATAATATAATAATATGAACGATATAAGCGAGTATGTAAGGTTTTTTTTCTCTTACCAAAAAAGTCTTCCCACCGCTCTGAGTCATCAGATTCTGTATCCATAATAACGCTTTTCTATTTCCTTTCAAGTAAATTAACGAAACAACTATACTTGAATAATTAAGTGTTGCTTGATCCACATCCACATCCAGCGTGCACATATATAGCTTATTCCTTATATATCAGCTTATGTGCATTGAGAAAGTTGAGCTTGTATTCTTTGCGGGAGATATACATATACTTGCTTGGGAATGCAAGTCATCGACCACCGTTTATATATATACATATATATATATATATATATAAACCATAAGTTTCTATACACCTTGTAAAGGCAAGTAAACACTAACAATATTTATTTGTATAAGCACTTGAGTTGGTACATGTGATTCTTGTCTGAATTGATCAATTTCTCAATAATTTACGGGATATCTCCCTATTTCTCTCTCTCTCTCTTTTTTTAAGGCTTAGGTATAGTTGACTATATAAACAATAAGAAATGTATTTCGCTTAAGGAAATTTGACGTTTTATAACGACTTCAATTCTTGTAAAGCACTTTGCAGAAATAATACGTTTTTAATTTCAATAAATCCTTTTTGCCTTGCAATCAGTAATTCACCATATTCACTTGGCACTCGTCGCACGCGTCGCAAATGGCAAACTGAAGAAAGGAAAGTAAGCGAATACAAAAATGCACATACTTTGATAAACAAGTTTACATAAACCAATGTTCTGCCCATTAATGCGTCTGAAGTAAAAAACACATGTGCTGAGATCGTTTTGAAAACCGTTTTCAGGGAGAAGACTGAACTGGTGCACTACAGGCGTTATGGCAAAGTGAATATATACGAACTTATACATACATGTTCTTGGCGTATATGTGCATATATAAATGGAATGTATTGTCCACGACCTTATTTCTTATTCTCTCGCCGATACTTCGTATCTTATATCATATGAAACTCTCTCTTAATTGAAAGCTTACGGGCACACGCACGCATATGCATATTGAAAACAAATGTAATTTCAGTGGAGCCTCAGTGGGCCAAAACATTTCATTAAACACAGTTATAAATGGATGGAAATATGATTTGCGCGATCTTAAAATTTTCATTGTCTTCCCATGTATGTATAGAAATGTTGCAATTCAAACCAATAGATAGATAGTAAAAAGCTTCGATTCTAGATATACGCTCGCATTATCTCTCCCATTTATTGAGTAGAGATAAAAAATTAAAGATGATTCAATTCATATACATTTGTATGTTTGTTCTTTATATGAATAATATTTTACTTCTTTTACTTATTAAAAAAAAAGCAAATATAACTTATTTCTCTTATTTTATTATTTCATTTTTCATAAATTTCGTTTCACATTTAAATACTTTAGTTTCACTCCATACGCATTTTTTCTTTTTTGTTTTAAAACGATCGCTGGTTTTATGCGCAATACCCACACACTCACAATTTCTGTTTAAATAATTATTATCAATAGTAAGACATACATTTTAAATTGCACCAAAATTAAAAGTAATAAGTAAAAAAAAAATGCTATAACGAAGTTATTATTTAAACATTTTTTTAACGCCTTAACTCTTTAATTCTAAGTTACAATAAAACACCAAAGCAGAAATTTTAACAACTTTCCGATATCTCCATTATCTTACATTGTTTTGCAAGTTATACTTTCATTCATTACCAGCACTTGCACCATTTGCCAAAAAAGATGTAGAAAATTACATTCAGCAAAGTTGGCAGCCTTATCTTCTTCTTTTTATTCCCACATAATTACAATCATATGTGTAAATAATTGCCATCCTACGAATTTCGCCAGCCGTTTGACTTTGCTGAAAATAAAATTCTATTTTTGAGAGTAAAATATTTTCTCTGCCATATTTTTGTTACTACTTTTTTTTTTTGTAAGCTAAAACTAAACTAGCGTTCAAATTAAGAAAATTTAAAAATTCAACAAGACTGCTGAAAATCGACACATAATTACGTCTTAAAACATCTCGTCTTAAACATATTTGCTGCCTGCCATAATTGCCATATTTACATTTTTTATTTCAAATCTAAAAAGAAATGATTTTAAAGTTTATATAATGCTGATTAGTCGTAGCGTTTGTTATTCTAATTGCACCTTCTAACTTGACTTCATTTTATTTCACTCATTTCATAATAATATATTATTTAATATAAACTACACCTGTAACAAATGACATGCTTCCTAATAAAGCGCGAAATTCATAGCATTTCAAAGCGAAAAATCATTTTTGAAATTTTTATAGAAAAAAATTTAAGTAAGTGAACAAAATTATTAAACATCTCTCTTCCATTTTCTAGGCTTAAATTATTTTATTCTATTTATTACTATACAATTGCTGACATTTTTATTATTATTATTACATTAATTTACTATTGTATTGCATAAAGTTCTCTGTTAAAAAGGCAAAGCAGTAGCTAAATTCTCTGCTAATTGCGAGCCGTCGTTAAATTCTCTGCTAATTGCAGAGCCACCGTTAAATTCTCTGCTAATTGCAGAGCCGTTGTCTGCGTTGTCTGCCCAAACATTAACGGCACGACTGATGAAACAAGCTTTTGAGAAAGAAATGATAATTATAATAATATGTCTGATATCAGATCACAAGCATAAGTTTCAAAAATATAATTTCATATTTCAAACTAAAAATTTTGTATTGCATATCTTTCTCGCTTTCTTAATTTCCTGTCTAGCCAAAAAAAACGCTTATTTTTGTTTAAACGTGTTATTGTTCTTTTTTTTAAAAAGAGAAGAAGCAATTCGACTAAATATAAAGAAGAGTCATATAAATAAAAAAAAGTGAAAGAGAAAATAAATTTAAGAGAAAAGCAGCTGATAGTTAAATGGTGTCATAAACTTGTGGAATTTGTGGGAATTGGGTGAACTTGTGGAATGGAGATCATGCTTTTGCTTGGTTAATGCTAAGACCGTTGGTTTCATTCAAATTTGTTCGATGGGCGGAAATAAACAAAATAAAGAGAACGGAAACGTGAATAATTTTATATTTCTTTATACTTTGTTAAAAAGACGTATCTCTCTCGCCTTTTATCTATTTCTTTCTCTTCTTTATTCACACAAGAGTAGACCGAAGAGTAATGTTAGCATATCACAATGCTGCCAAGTAATCAAATTAAATATAATCGATAAATCATATCATCGACTGATATCGTTTTTTGGTAAAGTTCCAGGTATGCTTAGTACAATATGGAGATTCGTTTACGTAATTCCTAAAGACGTAATAGAAAGTTTTGTCAGCCCATGCTCATAAAAAAATGCGATTTGAAACCCAGAAAATTTGGTTTAGCACAAGTTAAAAAGAAAAAAATTCTCTTTCTACACGAATGGTTTCGTTTTAACATTATTTTCAATATTCTACGGACTTTTTTAATTAATTTTTTAATCCATATTTCTGATGAATTTGAAATTGAATTAAGGAATGAAAAGAGGCGTTACTCTTACGAATGTAATACTTTATTCACATTTGGCTCGTGGCTACGTCTCTCCATTGATCTCTATTAGTGTCAGGCTCTTTTATGATTCAACTTTTTCAACTTTTAACTTTCCGCATATTTTTTAAAACAATTTTATTTTTTTAAGTTCGCAAAAAGAAATATATGTTAAATACGCCTCAAGTAAGTTCAAATGCACTGTCAGCCTACAAGTAACGGAGTAATTAATTCGAGAAACTAAGCATTAAAAAGCTCTATTTTTTCTGTTTATGATGATTTGAAAAACTTTTATAACAACAAAACATGGATTAGTGGTTATGCGCTAACAGAATTTATCGTAGTTTAAACAATTACTTTTCACTTTTTTTGTTTAAACAATGTATAATGCGTAAAATAATATTTTCTAATTATTTATTCTTTTCTGGATGTTGAGTTAAAATGGACTAAGAAATAATATTTTCGGCGAATAACAATTACTATGTTTCTACTATGTAACTACTTCAATGTTTCTTTGCATGTAGGTTTCGTTTATTACTTTTTTTGAGGTAGTAAAAGATACAATATTGAAATAGGAACTATGCATGTATGTGTAATACACATTTATTGTTTACTTAATATAATTTGAAGAACAACGTTTCCGCAACAAAATAATAACAATCATAAAAAATATAAAATCTCATTTTATTATATCCGCCACCGAAGCATGGGGATATATGCATTTAGTCAAAACAATTGCAAGGCCCAGAAGGAAGCATCAGAGAATCCACGAACTATATATATATTCTTGATCAACATGAAATTCTAAATCGATATAAGCATGTGTATAACGTCTGTTGTAAACATTCTCCTGACAGCAAAAATTAAAGTCTGTAAACTAAATGGTGATGGGTATAAGAGATTTGATCTATTTACAAAACAATATCTGTAGAAGAGGTTAGAAATCAGTGATCAATTTTTTCTTTTTTTTTAAATTTTTGTTAACCTTTTATCTTCTAATTGGAACGTTTACAACTTCACATTGCCAACTAAACTAAATGCGGCAACACCGGCTATTAAAAACATCGGCATCGATGATTATGTCTTTATATCTTACACCTTTATGGTAAAAGAATATATTTAGGTTGTGAGGATAAGGACCCATCTTTTACTATATGAATGACCTTTTGAATCGATTTAAGCTCGCTTGTCCGTCTGTCTCTCAAGCTAAACAACCATATGTGTGTTTTGCCCAACACTGTACAATATATAAAATGTTTAATATTAACTGTCATTCAATAAATATAGAAAATATATATTTTGATTATCATATTACGAATAAATTAACAAAGCCTAGACTAATAAACATACTTTGTTACGCTTAGGCAGTAATATCACCTTGTGATTTTTTTATTACTTTTGGTAGCTTAAGTAGTTTGTATTCTATCCAAAATTATTATAAAAAATACGACCATAAATTAAGATAATTCAATTAAATTAAATATTCTATAATGCGTTCCTTAATACAGTTGCTTATGTAATGAATTTTCAAAACAGGGCATTATAGGAAAATTGGAGTAAAAAATGGTCTAGGCCGAATCATTTTCGACATATCTTTGGACCAAACATCTCGCGTACAGCAAATTTCACGAAAATATTTCCAAAATTGCGACTTGTTGAGGTCAAACATAAAAGAGGTCAAACATAAATAGAAGGAAAGACGGACAGACAAGTCTAGGTCGTTCGAGGAAGTGTACCGAATTTTATCAAATATCAAAAATAGCTGCCTGTAGGTTGAATACAAGAATACATAAACAAACATCAGATGAACGGATGGGCAGAACGCCTTCATGCGATTCGGAAGCTGGCCTTAACTACCGTGAGTGTTTAACACTTGCCGATGCGGTTACACCCTCAATATATTTTTCTCCTTCCTATCATCTTTTTGGCCGTTAATGTGTTATAAAAATGATGGACACTCTGAGTGATCGGCTATATTGAAAAAAGAAAAAAAGAAAAAGTGATTCTGAATTAGATCGATTTACAATAACTTTCTGCCTTTTTAGAATAGCCTTTTAAGCTCGTCTGTCCGTCTGTCCATATGTGTGCAAAAGGTGAATCTACCTCAAGTTCTTCTGAATGTTGCATACCTCCGCCCAATCTTAATGTATCTTGTACAATAAGTTGTGTAAGGGTATAAAAACGAATTGAAGGCAAAACCAATTACAATCGGCTTTAAACCTATATGTGAAGATATTTTCCGTTCCATATATAAACAATTAAAGGAACAAATGTAAAAAACATTTTCCCTTCAGAACTACTCTTTATCACATTCATACTTTCCGGATTGCAACTACAAGAGATTCCGAGGGTTTCAACAGATGCGTAGTCCCATAAATCTCTTTAAAAGTCTTCATAAATTTGTTAAATTAAAACAGAACAATATATTCAGTAAACATAAGCTTACTCTAGTTAGCGTGACAGCATTATGTTCATAAGATTAAATGATAAAAAAAAAAAAGAAATGATAAGCGTCTAGAATTTCTTTCGTTTCCATGTACTTACTATATGTACGAATTTCATATATATAAATACAACTTTCACAGTTACACTTATGCATAAATATTATTTTAATGAGTTAAAGTTGACTAGTGTCGTAAAATTGGTTGTGCAATCCTACTACAAAAAGCAAGGAAGAATACTACAATCAAGCAAGGCCGACTATTAAATACCCTGCACCACTTTGCCTAATCCAATCATTCACGCTTTTGTTTAATAATACCCCAAAAATTATGCATTATCTTTTTATGTAAATGCGTAATTTCCACGAACGCCCCCATATTGGAAGACACTCAACCTTATTTAAAAGCCAGCTAAACTTACTTGTCAAAGATTTTATTATTTTTCCGTTTGCTTCAGTCATAACAAACCACAAATAGGACTTTGTCTTTGTCATAGGAGGGGGTGAGGTTTAGACATGTAGACCTATGTGAACCAAATTCCCTATGGTTAATTCACTGAGAAGCAGTTTTCATGATAAAATATCAAAAGTTGCCCATTTTTGCCATATAAAGGGTTATTTTCCGTAGAATCCTTATATAAGATGCGATCGAAAAATTCGATAAAATCAATTTTTACAAACATTGAAATTGAAGTCTTTCCATCAATCTTTCCAATTAAATTTCCGAAGGAACGGTTATGTGGCACTAGTCAATCGCGTTTGTCCTTAGGCCGGTATACCAAATCTCATAAAAATGTATGAAAAATGACAACTTGTAAGGTTGAATATAGAAGAGGGCAAGACGGACGGACGGATAGAGAGATGCAGATTCAAAAAATGATTCTGCAGTGTGTGTGTGTGTGTTTGTTGGTATAATAGCAGAGTGGTCTATCCCAAGTCCTTCTGGGTATAACATACGGCCACACAAACTGAATATACCATATGTGTACCATAAGTGGTCGAGGGTATAGAAAAAAATAAACTATTTGAACTATGTGAACAAATTAGCGGAGACTGTTGATAAGGTTAAGGTAAACCCACACTCATTTATTTATCATATCATTATTGGTGATACATGAGATATATATATATATGTATTCGTTTAAATAATTATGTATTAACTATTCTTATTTATATACTATTACTATCATCATTATTTATTATATGCTTTTATTATGTACGCGCGCGAATAAGGGAAGAGACTTCCACTGATCTAATTGTTTCTGTTGATTTCTTTACATTTATCTTTTGTTCTATTTTTGTTCCATTGGTTATAATAAATAATTAAAATATTTATTTATTTATGTAAATAAGAATATGATCGTTTGACACATAATGTAGATATATAGATATTTATGTGCATTTAATGTTTATTTATATTATATTTTATTGCGTAAGCTATATTTAATTGTTATTTCAAGTTTATAATTGAGAATTTACTGTATATATATATATATATATATACTTCGGCCAAATGTCGTAATACTTTAAAACGCGACTTGTCGCCTAAATGTCGACTGAATCAAATTCAATATGAAAAAAACAAAGCATCTGAAGGTATTTGCAAAAAAAAAAAATGCCTCACAACTATGTTTGTGTGAGAATTCAATTGAAAGTAGATTTCTAATAAATTTAATAGCGTCTCTATGTTTTACATTTACAGTGACGTAATTATTTTTGTTGATATATGACAACAATTGCTGTTGTATCAATAATAAACATTTTAAAAAGCGCGCGCACATATACCCGCACATATAAAGCGATCACAATGTAAAATTAATTAAAACCGTTGCAGATATCGAGATTATATATACACATATATACATATGTATATAACACTCCGGCTTATATCATAATACTATGGGCGAAATGCCTGCTAATGCAATCATAATTTCAACGACAAACAAGTTAACTAAAATGCATAGATAATGTTCTAATGTGTACACTCATACTCACACGTATCTATGCGTAGGCGTGTATACAAGCTGCAATATTCTCTGGACAGAGAGGTGTATCAGTTTTATTGATATGATTGCGGTTGAGTTTGATTCGCATTTACAAGCGGAATAACCGCTCAGTGGCCGGTAGTAACTACAGACGTCTGGAGTTCGGTGTACAAAAGCAATATAAGTAAGTAAAGTTATAGTTGCCTTAAAACTAATACCCGAAATTCAAATATTAGGTTAATCAAAAAGTACTGAACTTCAACTATTTTAATACAGTGCTATGAGTAAAGTTATTCCATTGATCGCGATTCAGTATTGCACGGCCAGATCAAAACCTTCTTAAAATTACCATTCATTGTCGTTCAATTATTTCTCTAAGATTTCGGGGAATCGGAGGGGAAAATTTCACTTGTTGACTCACCTAACCAGATGAAAATAAGCCAAAACACTCTGGATAACTTTTTTAAAAACTGATGAGTTTGTCAACTAATGTTTTTGAAAATCTGTTAATTTTTACCGTCATCGCAATGATGGTTGTATGCTACCATTTCAAATACGGCTCGTAATTCAAAATGACATCACTTGTTGAAAGGTGCTACCGGTGTTTAGTCTTCTTTGATCATCTGCCGCCTTATTTTAAAAAGTCACTGTATAAATGACTGTAGGGTGTCATAGTTCGGGCGTGGTATGCCATAGTGCTGTTTTTGCTTGTTTTAAGACAGCCTATGTCATATACATGACCTATATGTAAAATACAATTTATGTGTAAACATAGAACAAACGAGATAGCTAGCAGTTTAGTCCTAGAATTTATTTCTTCAACCTAAATAAATGGCAATAGTAATAAGAAGAAGTATGTCTTCATTTGCCACAGGGACGCACTCACCCCCTATATATAAGTCGATAGAGTGCTATTGAACCAAGGCAAACAAGCAAATGCTTGGCAACGGAGCGTAGCCAACATTTTGATTTATCCACGAAAATTATATAAAAAATAAAAAATTCTGTCGCGGCAACCAAGCAGAATAAATTTGATGGTATTTGAAAAATCGGCTGGAGAATACGATTGACATTTTTCCAAAAGATCCTAAATGGGTTGAGTAGGTCATAATTGAATGTACATAGTCCACTTAGAATTCCAGAGGGATATAAAGTGAGGTTAACTTTGAATTTCAGAAGGACCTTCTTCCTCATAAAGGGTACGCATACCTTACTGGACCTTTTAAGTAAGAGATAGGTGGCCGAAAATGACCAAATGATCTTACGCTGACAAAAAATTTACATTCTTTGTGTGGTTCTTTTAAGGAATTTCTGGATATTACAAGGAAAATGACAAATGTTGTACAATCCCATCTTTCCATGGTCAGCATATATTATATCAAGTACAATTTCTTATCCTATAATTCAAGGCAGATATAAAAACTGAAGAGTAGCAATAGCAGATTAGATCAGTGGATGACGACATTGATATTCGGTATGAAAAAAAAACTCTGGTCTCTTATGTTCGATGTTATACTAAAGTGCTTCACAAAATTACCCAGTTGGCATTCCATTGGTCTGGTGATAGCCGATACGTTATCTACTATTTTATACAAGTGGACCGGTATAAGTGCAGAATTGCTATACGATCAAACAAAATGATAAAATAGAACTTAATGTCGATAACGAGAGCTCAACCCTTAAAGAAAAGCAATAAGTATTAAAATGTTAATCGGCCAAATATCCTATTTTGTTAATGTTATGTCCTAGTTTACACAAACTGGCTCATTAATGGCATAACCATAACCAGAAACAGATTACTCCTTGAATTGTTTCATACCGTAAATTCTTCCATCTTTGACGAATAAATATATTCTCGCATTTAGAAAAATATCGTATTCCGCATTCCAATCAGTCAGCTTTATCAGTTATCTTAAAATGCTTGACTTGATCTTTAGACATAAAATTATATAAAAAAAAAAAAAATAAATAAATAAATAAACAAACCATTGGAACAGATGCTTTAAGGTTGTTTTTATGGTGTACGATTTCATTTCATACTTTTTTGTTTTATTATTATTAGAGAAATATTTATATAATTATTTTTTGATGTTTTTTTAATTGATAGTTGGACGTGAATGCCCTCTAAATTTTTGCATAAAATATAATTTATAAGATGAATATAGAGAAAAATACAGTATTTTCCTTTTAAAGCTATGTCATCAAAATAGCAAATATATCATAACCGGTCGCATCCATTTCAGCAGATTTTGGTGACGTCTGCAACGGTTATGAAGCAAAGAATTCTTAGGCACCCTTCACTTTTTTGGTATACACGTTTCAAAATATGATGGCTTACGAGGCGACATTATTGGTAGTATTTGTTCGGGATTTTTTTGTAGAACGTTGCACGGTCGTCTGTTGTTGTAGTTGACTGCTGGCCTGAGCTTCAGCTAACAGAGCTACAGTGCGTCTAAGTTCTTGAAGTTCTGCTTGCATTTGATCGAAAACCGGCTTCCTCGGAGCATCTGCAGTAATGGCAGTTATCGGTTGCGGTTGTGGCGGCAAAGGCGTAGTCATTGTCGTTAGCGGGGATACATTAGGAAGAGGCATAGGCGATGTGTTTAATAAACCGGCCAAAGTTGACGGGATTATATTTGACGAAACTATAGATGATGGGATGGCAGGCGTACTCGGTGTAGTGATGGACGCCAGAGGCGGCATATTTTCTGCGCTCGCCACTGCGGTTATTTTTAAATTTGGATGCATTCGTAGCGGTAAGCTTATTGAGGTTGAATTATTATTTAAAGTGGACATTGTACTGCTTACTGGAGCCAAGGGATAATTCGACAGACTTTGAAAATTCTTATTACAAATCGTAGTTAACACAGGTGAATATGAAGAATGAAGGGGATTTTGTATCGACACAGCTGATGAACTTAAGGAACTTTGCATGGGCAAAGTCGAAACATTTTGAGAATTTTGCATTGGCATAGTAGAGGAATTCAAATGGTTTTGCATAGGCAAAGTTGAGGAATTTAAAAGAGTTTGCAGCGACAAAGTTGCAGCGTTTAATGTGCTTTGCATGGGCAAAGTGGATGAATTTAATGTATTTTGCATAGGCAAAACGCATGAATTTAATGTACTTTGCATTGGCAAAGTTGAAGAATTTATTGAGCCTTGCATAGGCAAAACGGATGAATTTATTGTATTTTGCATTGGCAAAGTTGCAGAATTTAATGAGCCTTGCATAGGCAAGGCTGACGCTGTTAAAGTGTTTTGGACAGGCAAAGGGGATGAATTTAACGTATTTTGCATAGACAAAATTGTGGAGTTTACAGGATTTTGTGTAGTCGAAGTCGAAGAATGCAAAGTCGTCTGCATGGCCGAAACGCTTACCGTTGATCCGATCGATAGATTTGTAGAAGCCAAAGTTTTCGAAACTTTTGGTGCGTTCATTAATTTCTTTAACGTTTCCGCGGCACTGTCTTTTTGTATTGCGACCAATTTCTGTATAGTACTTGGGTCAGCATTACTAATCTTACTTAAATCTTCTTCGTCGGTGTCTACTACCACGTAGTTAACTACATGCACATGAGTATTAGGTACAACTCGATAAATAGTTTTAGCAGAATCATCATCGTTCGGATTTTTTAAATCAGCGAATTTAGCCGAGCTACCGTGTACTTGAAAAGCAGATGTAAGCCCCCTCACTAATACCGGCTTTTCCACCACAGCTGGAGCTGAAAAAAACTGGGCAGACCTTCGCTTTGGTAGCGGTGAAGTTAATTTACTCGCAAAGCAACTGGGATCTTCACAACGGCCTCCGATAGAGGTAGAAATGGTATGTTTGGCATTTGATTCATTTTCATAGCTACCTAAGGATGCCATCACATTTCGTTTATGTTAAAACATTTGTCTCTTTTTTTATGTTTGTACGCGCTTTTCCATAAATATTTAAAAACTGATTTTTCACCGATTTTTTATACATCAATTAAATATATAGCTGTATCGCTTTTTTATGCAAATCAGCCGCGAAAATATTAGCTACTCTTTAGTTTTGCCTCTAATATTTTACTGCCGGCAAAGAGTGTTGCCAGCATTTAAAAAATTTTTAATTATTGCATTTTACTAAAATGCCATCAACTATAAAAATCAAATACCGAAACTAAACGAAAATCAATTGCCACACATTTCATTGCCGTTTGATTTCAACAAATAGAAGAACAGTTGTTGCGTATTTATTTATTCATTTACTGATTTACAGATGTGATTCAGTTGTATTAAAATAATAGCCTAATAGGGTAGACTCATATAAAAAAATTATTAAGCTAAACATTAGGAGTAACTTTTATAAAGCAAAAATTAATGAAACAAAAATCAAATTCGTGTGTAAATTTACAAAAAAAAAAGAGCGTGTATGTATGCTTTTAGCATATCGCCACACTGGCAGCGAATATAGACCTAAGCACTCCTCCCATGCAAAGATGAAAAAGCTAGGCAACCGAAAATGGTGAACATAATTGGTTTAATTTATGAATCATACGAACTTTGAAAGATTAAAAATTAGTTTAGGTTTGTCGTAAGATGTATGTACTTACAGAATCAGATATTGAGATAATATGATAGATAACATTTCTTCAGGCACCCTGAACGAACTGAAAAGCTCATAACTATATCAATACTGATTTTTTATGAAAACAAAATTTCTGCCAGTATGGTTAGGTGCATTGAAGTTAATCTCTCATAATAAGATATGGTAATCCCTACCGCCACTTGCTAACTTAACTAAGAATGAAACACCTAGCGTAAAGCCAAGGTTTCTTTAATGGAGGTAAAGCTAAGAGAGGCAATCTATTTTAAGAAGGTGACAAGAAGATTAATGGATCCCATCCAATTCCATCCCAAATATGTAAACGAAATAAGAAATAAAGGCCATAAATCTATAAAAAAAATAATTTTATTTGATATAAACAATAATTAAGATATTAGAAAATTAAGGACAGTAAAAAACTTTGTTTGAAACTCGAACTGAAACGCCTTATTTTTGTATATAATGTTAAAGAGGCTCGGTACGATATAAGACAATTAACAGATTTTTTTAAAGAATAGAATTCATCGCTTTTTTAATACATTAAAATCATTTATCGTTTGAATGATTTAACTGAATGTTTGGTGAAGGTAAGAAACTAAAATGTCCTTTTTTAAGGACATATACTCGGATACGTAAAAAAACAACAAGACAAATACCGGCTGAAAATTGATTACTTTGTGCGACAAAGGTACCGCTAAAAATCAAATCAAATATAAATAAAAAGGAAAATAAACAAGTAATTCTATTAACAAAATTAAAAAGCGTTAAAAGAATTTTATAAGAAATTTTTAAAATTATAATATTATAAAAAATATTCAAGTACGTTTTTGTCAAAGCAAATAAAATAGTCACATAAAACATGTGCATAGTCACCAAAATTTATTTGTTAAATATATAATTATCAGTGATTCCTGTTCATATATTACTGTGTTCATATATTAATTAATATTGCGTTTGCTCTTCCCTGTACAAATGTTAACATGTTATCTAAGTTTTATGGACAGATCCAAAGTTTGGCAACTCTAGTTGTTTTGACTTTTTTTTTTTGTTTATTATGTTTTAGTTTCCACACTAATAATTCTCATTCTGTTTGTAAATGTTCTCATATAATACATCTTCTCTTACTTGTTTTGTTCGGGACATGAAGATTGTGGTTTGTACTTGCTATAAGTGCTTGATGATTGTCTGCCCAAAATTTTATGTTACGACAAATAAAGACAATCTTGAAACCGTCTGATCCCAATATTTTTCTTGTAAGGCGTCACGTGTTTGTCGCATATTTGTTGAAAAAAATGATGAGATTTGAAAGTAGCCGTCAGGGTGTTACGTCTTTACTAACTTAATATAGCCTGTTTAATGTACCCTGTATCAGTGATAAGTAGAGTATAAAAAGAGGTTTTTTTAGGATTTTAAAGAAGAGTTGTAAAATTCATCGAACAAGTTAGTGTGGTTACAGTATTTGATAACGAAACAGCTTGAATTCAATTCTTCTTGATGATTTTGATTAATTGTACGGTTGTACTTTTATTTTAAGATTTTTAAATAAGCCAACGAGGAGCCCGACTTTATTTGATAACGAAGCTTTCGTCAAGATTGAGAATCTTGCGGGCTTAGACACTTATGTACTTTTATGTGTATACATATATGTATACATACATGTAACAGCCAGCGCAGGGAATAAACCAGAGGGTAACAACAAACAAACTTTATTAAAATTGAAAAAAAAAGGAGAAAAGCTACGTAAAGTAAGAAAAGTGCATTTGGCTTGCATGTACATTTCATATATACAAATAACATTACTCTCTTATCAGAGACTGTACATATGGGTTGAGGGATCCAAAAATATATTTCTTAGGAAATAAAAACTAATATTGAAAAACAATTCGAGATCTTTTGACTTTGACATTCTTTCCGTTCCTAATTTTTTTTGCTTTTGAAAGCGAACGAGTGTGTGTGTTCTTCTTTTATCAGAGGCGTGTCCTTCGACCATTTGTGCCATTCTCAATATAAATTTGCCGGGAAGAATCTCCAATACTTTTTTTGCCAAGCTTGAAATAAATATCTTAGTTTTTACCATACACGGATAGAATGCTGGATATAAATAGCCTGACTCAGTGTTTGATACCGATGAAGAAAATATATATATATATATGTTTATTATAATGTCTGTCAAGGTGGGTATTTCCTATTGGAAAAGAATTGATGAAAGGAATGTGCTTCCAATCGTACGCTATAGTAATTAAGATTCAAAAGCAATCAAATGCAAATATCGGACATGATAAAGCTTGGTAATACTAGCATACACTAGGCTAGTACTACCGGATACGTTGTTTCGATACTTTGTAACTAAATGAGCGACATTTGTTTGAATGTATTTGAACTTCGAATTTGGTAATTTGAGAGAGTAACTAAAGAGCGACATTTGAATTGTTGTTCAATATTATTCATATCTACACTCTCTGATAAGAGAGCAATGTTATTTGTATATATGACATGTGCATACAAAGCCAAACATAATTTTTTTACTTTACGTATCTTTTATTCTTTTTTTTTTTAATTTTAATAAAGTTTGTTTGATACCCTCTGGATTATTCGCTGCGCTAGCTTTATAAAAGTACAATCTAAGCCCATAATCTTGAGAAAAGCTTCGTTATCGAATAAAGTCGATTTTCTTGGGAAATGGAAAATAATAGTCCCTATTTGGCTTATTTAAAATCTTATCCGCCTGAGTGGCCGAGTAGGCAAGAGTCTCGAGTAGCAGCTCAATAGTCGTGGCTTCAAACCTCAAGTGTGGTAGAGTTTTTTAATAACAGCCGATAGCCCTAGATGCTAGTGCTTTAAGACTTTAGTCTTAGAATTTATTCTCTGGCTAAATTTATAATAATAATAATAATATTTAGAATCTTAAAATAAAAGTACTTTAGGTAATGTTCCAAAATTTTTTGAATAATTGTACTTATACGAAGGGACCATCAAATATTTATAATCAATTTTTATACCCTACAGCAATTGTGGTACAAGCTATGTAATACGCAGAAACATTTAAGATGGACCCACCTTTCGTTATATCGATTACCAGAGAATCTTTTTCTGAATCGATCTAAGCCTATATGTCCGACTGTCCGTCTGATGACTGTCCAATTAAACTATTGTTTAAGCTACAGTTTGCAATCATTGACATGTGGGGCACTGACACAAGGCGTGTTTTGATACAAGGATAGACGCTATTGACAATGGTCGGGATCGGCCCATTTTTCGACCACTTCTCATAGCGCACCCGATTATAAAAAATTTTCAAAATTTCTCAACAAGCTGCGTTTGTAATAGTATTTGAGTATTCTAAATTGGTATGAAAAGTTTTGTGCGGCTAGGGAAATTTTTTAGTCCTCTCTCATATAGCCATTCCTACGAAATCTTTTACCTTTCGAGATGACCAATTTTTTTTTTTTTATAATATCCACCAACTATGCAGGTCATGTTCCTTCCGCGTTGACGTTCAGAAAGAAAGAATTGAGGAAAAAAAGATAGGGAGGTGTTGGCGCCAGTGTAGTGGAGATCTACCCAGTTGGTACTTCATACTTTCATCAACTTCGCGCTCACTATGGTTGCGATCAGAGTAAACTCTACCGCCCTTGAAACTTGAACTTGCGAACCCTGACTTGGCAGTCGTGATTCATACCTATTTGGTCACTGGCGAAAGCAAGCGTTGATCAATTTGTGAGTCCTGACTGCTTGGGTGCGGCCCTTCGGGGAGTACTCGTGGTGGCTGTGGTTGGCAAGTTCCTAGCCAAACTGGAACAGTCGAGTGCAGCTAGGCCTCACCACTGACCAGAGTGGGGTTTATTGTTCTGTACACAATAAACCGTTCTGGACTCTGGTGTTGTTTAGGCCCCTACTCTCTGGGGATTGTCTAACTCGCCAGGGGGCGTAGTACGCTTAGAGTGGCTTGGGCCACCGTGGGGTTAAGCCTTTCAGGCAGGAACCCACGATAAACCCTTGCTACAATTCTATTTGGTCACTTATTCCGACCTTTGCCTATTTCTGTCAAGAGGAATAATTTTAATACCCCCCTCGCTGCAAGAAGACTGACGACTGCGACGATTTCACAAAAAAGGCGGATCCAAATGATTTCTTTTGGTAGGTATAGACATACGCAAAACGTCGACAGTTGTAGTGTTAATGTGAAAAGTTCCCAGGATTTTTATGACGGCATACATGTATCTCGTTTGCTTGTTTATGCTCGAAGAATCGTAAAGACATGTGTATAACTTGGGAAGTTTCTGCGTATAGCATATGTTGTGGACGACGATATTTTTGTATGCACACATGCAACTGTGATTAAAATTTATTAGTTATTTAGTAGTAGGGCCACAGCCAAATTGATATGAAAATATTTGGTCAAGGCTTTGTATTAATTAAATTTTATTATG